CGAGCCAGCCCTGGTCGCTGAAGAAGAAGCCCAGCGTGGAGCCGCCGGCGATGCCGAGGAACAGGCAGAGCACCATAACAGCACCGCCAGACTCACGGTCCTCGGGGTTAAGGAGACGCGGGCCTACGCCCATGGTCACGGTCGACAGGAAGCCGTTGGACAGTCCGATGAGCAGGTTGAGGATAATGTTGTAGGCGATAGCGCCCATGTCGTCACGACCGAACGAGTAGAGCGACGTGCCGGCCACGCCCATAAGCAGCAGCGGGATGAAGCCCAGACGTAGGATAGACAGACCGAAGCACCACTCGCTGTTGAGTAGCTTGTACACGGCAGCGCCGGTGAGGATACGGCCGAAGAAATCACCGTAGTTGTACGATCCCACAATACCAGGAGCACAGTACCAGATACTGGTTACGGTGTGCGTGTCATCCGAATAGGGAGGGGCCAGGTTACGTGATGCAGCGCACCCGAAGCCAGGGAATACCGATAGGGACACGAAGAAGACGAGGAACTGGGCGACGGCAGGCATCCAAATAATAGCAAAGATGCGCCACAGGTTGCTCAGCGTCTTACTCACCGACTGGGTCGTGAGGTTCTCCTCCTTGGCCGACGCAGCATTACGTTCCAATAGGAATTTAACACTCGGTAGGTTCGTAAGGCGGCGGTAGACGAACAGTGCGACGATAAGTACCACGATGAGGATACCGAAGAAGAGGTAGAAAGCCAGCTTGGTAGAGCTGCTGGTCTGGTGGACACCGCCGACAGCGAGACGTAGCAGCGTAGCCAACGAAATGTTGAGGATACCGGCCGTACCGTTACCGATTTGCACGGCCTGCGAGAACTTGGGGACCGGAAACAACGCCGCAATCGTGTAGTACGTCGACTCCGAGAGCGTGTTACCGAAGCCGACACACCCGAAGCAGATGAGCACGAGGATGGCACCAGTCTTTTGGTTAGAGAAGTTGATGGCACTGAAGATCATAATGAGAATGGCCATGAGGATAAAGATGCCGTAGCCGACGCGCACGCGGAACTCCTGGGTGAGCTTCTTGTCTAGCCCCCAGATCATTTGGATGGCCTGGCCGATGACCATGGGCCACGACGTACAGAGCGTGGTTAAGAAGGAGAAATCCAGACCCGAATCAGCGAACTCGACCGTGTAGAAGTCCTGCGCACTCAGACACGAGTAGTAGGCCCAGAGCACCGAGCCGTTGAGGAACATGAGCGAGAAGAAAATGTTGCGTTCGTTCTTGACCATGTCGTCCCAGATCTCCTCGGGCATACCGTCGTGGCCCAGCTCGACCTGGTCGTCAGACACGAGCTTCTCGGACTTGCTGGGAGACTCCATGGGACTCGAAACCTCTTGAGACTGGCCCGGCGAATTGCGGAATGGCCGACTTGTGAGACTAATACCAGCAAATCACGATTAACGTCAACTTGCATTGGTGGAGGGAGTCCGTGCGTGTCTGCTGTGCCAAACGGGAAGAAATGTCCGTAGCCAGGACGAATCACCGACACATCGACTGATTGTGGCTCTGCTTGCTCAACAAAACCTGTCTGTACCGCAGCAGGTGTTGCAATAAAACTGATAAAATAAAAAATGTTGTTACGTTTCCAAGAAATTCACAACTTCTTATAAAAGTGTTATTCCTCTACAAACCGAGCCATCCGTTGTCGCTGACGAGGAAGCCGAAGGTGGAGCCTGTGGCGATCCCGAGGAACAGGAAGAAAACCATGACGGCGCCGCCCGATTCGCGGTCTTCCGGTTTCAGCATTCGAGGCGCCACGCCCATTGTTACAGTCGACAGTAAACCCGTAGAAATGCCGATGAGAAGATTGAGTACGATGTTGTAGGCCAACGCTCCCATACTGCCGAACGGGAACGCATAGAGCGACGTGCCGGCCACACCCATGAGTAGCAACGGGATGAAGGCGATACGGAGGACAGACAACCCGAACGCCCACCCCATGGTTACCACGCGGTACACCGCGGCCGTACACAAGATACGACCAATGAAATCGCCATAGTTGTAGCTGCCAATGATACCAGGAGAGCAGTACCATGTCGACGTGAGGTTGTGGACTTCGTCGCTGTACGGAGGAAACAAGTTCCGCGATGCCGCGCAGCCGAAACCAGGGAATACCGAGAGTGACACGAAGAAAATGAGGAACTGCGCGATGGCAGGAATCCAAATGATTGAAAAGATGCGGCTCAGATTTTGCAGTGTACGGCCCACCGATTGATTCGCTA